AAATATTTGCTGTGGTTACAAATATTACCAACGTCACGAAGCAATAATTAACAAGCACTCAAAGCAGTAAGCATTGGTTACCTGTGAAATGTGAACACAAACACGAACGGTCAACAAAATCAGGTGCGACTATTGACTCCACAAATCACTAATGATATGACGACACGTGTTTGACCCGTTGCCCACCTGGCTACTCACTTCACTGTACATGCTACACGCGTCATCGATTCATTAGCTGCATGTCATCTTCCTACCTGATCAAACAGTTTAGAAAAAAATTAGTTTAACAGCCTCCGGAAATATCTTTGATTTCATTTTGGTCGAAACTATTTGATCAATAAAACTTAAACAAAACATTCGTTTTACATATATCGCATTTTTAGCTCTTATTTTTTTCTTCTAAAATGCTAATTTACAAATTCAATTGTTAAATATGTTATTTTGTTAATCAAGGGTTCAGAACGATGATAGCTTACTTAACTAGCAATAATTTTTTTATTTTTTATTTAAATGAGTCTTCTATTTTTAGCAGTAGTAGCTAGTTTGATATCGAAAGAAATTATGGACCGAAAACCAAATTTTTTTATTAATAATTTAAAATGTTTGACATTAAAGAGTGGAGACGATAACTTTAACGAGAAGTTTTCGGTGGATTAATTGATAATGTAATTAAACTTAAGGTTACATGATTAAAGTATCGTAAAGAAGAAAAAATCGTTATAGGAAAAAACAGAAAAATACGAAATAATTTGAATAAAATATTTTAAATAGTGTGAGAAGATCACCCGCACTATATAAGCAGAGCCAAGCTGCTTGAGGTTAGATCATCGGTGAGGCTGAGAGTAAATCCACTACAAAAAAAAAAAACTTGAGTGTCCAAAAAAAAAAAAAAGTATTAGCAATCATTTTTCTGATTTGATCATCTGTCTTTAGAAAAAAAAAAACGATTTCTGGGTTTGTTTATGTTTGAATTGTTTTTTTTGATTGAAAAATATTCAGACAGAAAATTAACCTTATGAAATTGTGTTTCTCTTTATATGCAGATTTAATTGAAAGCCAGTTATTTTCAGAACAAGATCTTTTATAAAAATCTCTTCTTGATTTTGTTTTCTTTTTTCTTCATAGATTTAAGAAGTCGAGGGTAATTTTTTGTTCCCTCCTTCTTTTAGATTTTCACTTTTTTTTTTCTTTGAATTTTCTCGGGAAAAAACCCTGTTTCTTTACTTTTGATAAGAACAAGGTTCAAATTTTTCGGATTCAAAATTTATTATCTCTTTTACAAAAAAAAAAAAAATGGAATCTGCTATGAATTTGTACAGTAGCAGAACGTTTCAACCACAATCATCAAATTCGTTTGGTGGTGGTGAACTTATGGAAGCGCTTACACCTTTTATCAAAAGCGTTTCCGATTCTCCTTCCGCGTCTGCGTCTGCGTTTCTTCATCCCGCAACGTCTGCGTTTTCTCTCCCTCCTCCTTTTCCTGGATACTACCCGGAAGTTGACTCTCCACCGTTCTTAACCCAATACGGGTCGGATCTTCAACAAACCGGATCCTTAATCGGGTTAAACAACCTTTCTTCTTCCCAAATCCACCAGATCCAATCTCAGATCCATCACCAGAACCATCTTCTTCCTCAAACGCATCACCAGAATCACAACAACTCTTTCTCGAATCTTCTCAGTCCGAAGCCGTTACTCATGAAGCAAACCGGAGTCCCTGGATCTTGTTTATCCTACGGTTCCGGTGTGCCTCCGAAGCCGACGAAGCTGTACAGAGGTGTGAGACAACGTCACTGGGGAAAATGGGTGGCTGAGATCCGTTTGCCGAGGAATCGGACTCGTCTTTGGCTTGGGACATTTGACACGGCGGAGGAAGCAGCGTTGGCCTATGATAAGGCGGCGTATAAGCTGCGCGGCGATTTCGCCCGGCTTAATTTCCCGAACTTGCGTCATAATGGATCTCACGTCGGAGGCGATTTCGGTGAATACAAACCTCTTCATTCCTCAGTCGATGCTAAGCTCGAAGCTATTTGTCAGAGTATGGCAGAGACTCAGAAACAGGAGAAACCGACGAAGAAACGTGCCTCGACGAAGAAGAAAACTGAGTTTGTTCCGTCGCCGGAGAAAGTGAAGACGGAGGAGAATGAGAATTCGAATTTGACCTCGATCGCTGGATCTCCACCGGTGACGGAGTGTGTTGAGTCCGCCGGATCTTCGCCGTTATCGGATCTGACGTTCGCCGACACGGAAGAGCAGCCGCAGTGGAACGAGACGTTCTCCTTGGAGAAGTATCCGTCGTATGAGATCGATTGGGATTCGATTCTGTCTTGAACGGAACCACCGTCGCCGTCGTGTGTAATTTGGGTGGAAGATTAGGGGTATTTTAGGAAATTTACAAGCCGCTTGCAATGGAGTTTTTGGAAATTGCAAGAGAGGCCCCTACTATTAGGGTTAAGTTAAATTAAATTATGATTAGGGAAGTAAATTTCGTATGTTAATATTTTGTACTAGTCTGTATCTGTGTCGGTCCAAGCTTGCGGTTTTTTGTCAAGCTTGCGGCCATGCCACAGATTTTTCATTTTTATGTAATTTTTCTTTTTGGTCTTTGTAATTTGTTGTTTCAATTTCCTTATCTTAATGCAGTTTTTTTTTTCTTTTAGTTTAAATGAAATCTTCCCAAAAATTTATATATTGTTATGTTGTCATGTGATCAGGATGTCAAAATTGGTCACCAAATAATTCCTTACATTTGGATAACCAATCTTTCACCTAAATTAACGACGGATTGACTTAAAACAAATCGTAATGTATAGGATTATTCTAGCTCAATCCGTCAAAATAAATCCAATAACTTGTTTAATATTGACAATAATTTTTTTTACCACAACCACGATTTAAGTCATATCAGTTGAATATTAATCAGAGTTGTGGCCCGCATGATTATTGACTTTTTGGAAATATATGTCTTACTAATAAATGTTTAGAGAATCAGAAATCGCAAATACTTTGATGAATTATGTCTTCTTCTTTTTTTTGTCGTTGATGAATTTACGTCAAATGCATGCAATATATCAGTTCTGTTCCACAATTTTTTTGTTTTTTACTTTGAACACATGAAAAGTTAAAACACATAATTCATTCTGTAACACATCTCTAATTATTCCGTATTTCCTAGTCACAATTTTTGGATCTTTCTTTCAGATTATAAACTTTGAAAGAAATCATTGTCATCTAATTAATTTTGTCCGTTTTATTTCACAAAATGGTGAAGCTTCGCGTGTTGGTAAATATGACCGGCCTTACCACAACTTTCGTGCACCATCTTCAATCATTTATTCCACTTATTACTCAAACGTACATATTATTTACTGTATGAGATTTTTTGCAATCAAAAGAAATATCTAGAAACCTAATAATTCCATGTCACTGTGAAGAAGTATAAAAATGACAAAGTTAGCAGAAAATTAATCGAATCTTGATCACACATTTTCAGAAAGTAGATATGGATTTTTCAACGACACACACATAAGAGTGTGACTCGAAGAAATAAATGAAAAAGACAAAACAAAACCGATGCATTGCATGTAGTACACGAGGGTTTTGGGGCCATATGGGTGGTGGTACTATAACCAATATTCA